CACACATGAATAATTTAGATAAAACATTAAACTAAAGTTGAGAATAGGGACTCGATCAAAAATAGTGTCTACAGGGGTAGAGGGTGGTAAGGATCAGGGCCTCTCAATAGATTTGTATGTGGTGGCTTATATTGGTTTTTATACATATTCAACCTGAGCGAGACCCTAAACCAATATGAACCTCAACTCCCGATACTTGATTTGACAGCTTTACTATTGGCATAAATAGGCTTTACTGTTCCATAATGAATCTGCTTTTAACAAACAGCATGCTTAATAATTAGTCCAGCCCCCAATCATACTCCATAATATCACAGCTCAGTGGACAACGTCATGGAGTACCCCCGCCCCAATTTACCTGAAACTATTAACTTGTCACTTCCCATACACACTACCCATTATCTTCTTGTCTATGCCCACTAATATTCAGATCACTTATTCTCTTCACAAATACTAAAAAGAAGACATGAACAAGATAAAAGGGAAAAAAAGAATTAGATATTATTGGGCATCTTCATGTTACATTGCACTGCAACAGGCAAAATTAGGTATTCAAATAGTTTGCCGACTAAACATAAAAAAAATGAGTGTTTTGCCGACCAAACATACAAAGAACGAGTAGTCGAAGCACATGATAAGAATGTTTGATTAAAACAATGAAAATGGATTTTGTATATTTTATTATTAAATCAAGATTCTACAATCCTGGCTTTGGTAAATTCCAATTAAAAAAACAAGGCAGCTGTCGTTGGTAAATGTTAAAGGAAAAGGATGATAGAAGCCACGTGGAATAAGCTAACGATGTCTGCCCCCCTTTTTCTATATAGATAATTTGGAGTTTGGAACCAAAATGGTTTTGTTTATTTAAATATATAAGTTTTGTCTTGCAATAATTCCAATGGCGGTTGGAATGTTGCATTCCCAACTGGCTTTGATGTGTTCTTCTTATATATTTATTTTACTAAATTAAACCTGAGCCATGGTCAATAATCAAAGCGGTGTGTAGGCTTTTGTAATATTGGAACTTAAAGAACCAATGAAGAGGTTCCACATCATGGATTATGCACTCAGAAAATGTGGAAATTATGTACGGTTGCACCGACCTCTTAAAAATAAATAAATAAAAAAGGTTATATCATATGATTAAGATTGACATTTGACGCCCAAAATAAAATAAAGTACGTTTAGTTCACATAATGTAAGATTATAAGTGAGAATAAAAGATTATCAGGAATAGGATTATTGAAAATATTGTATTTTGTGTTTGGTTGGTTTAGAAGAACGTAAGATTACCGTGTTTAGTTAAAAGAATAAAAGATTATTGAAATGTATATTTAACCAAATTATCTTTATTATATATTTATTTTTTTAACAAATTGAAAAATATTTATATATTTTCTTTAAAAAATTTAAATTCATAAAACTTATATAATTTTTTTTATAAAATTAAAAATATAAAAAGGTTTAATGAAAGGGTAAAATATTATTTTAACCCATGAACTTTATATAAAATTTTAATTATAGATTTTTTTGTAAATCTAAAATAGTTTAAGGATAAATTTGTAATTTAACCTTAGTAGAATTTTTATTATTCAATGACAGAATAATGATATTTTTGAAAGAAAAAATTAAGGGCATTTTAGTCCAAAATGCCGGTAATCCAACAATACATAAGGAGATGGAGGAAATGACATTCCCGGTAATATACCCCAAAAAATCTACTATTGGTAATGTAAGATTACCGGGAATAACATTCCCGACCAACCAAACGGGGGAATGTGGATTCCATTCCCATGAGAATCTCACATTCCCCCAACCAAACACATGTGCGTTTGGTTTAAGGAATATAAGATTACCAGTAAGAATAAAAGATTACCATGGAATAAGATTACTGAGAATGTTGTATTTTGTGTTTGGTTGGTTTAGCAGAAATGTAAGATTACCGTGTTTGGTTAAAGAAATAAAAAATTATTGGAATGTATATTTAACCAAATTATCCTTATTATATATTTGTTTTTTAACAAGTTAGAAAATATTTATATATTTTCTTTAAAAAATTTAAATTCATAAAATTTGTATATTTTTTTTACAAAATTGAAAATATAAAAAGGTTTAATGAAATGGTAAAATTTTATTTTAACCCCTGAACTTCATATAAAATTTTAATTATAGATTTTTTTGTAAATCTAAATTAGTTTAAGGATATATTTGTAATTTAACCTTCGTAGAATTTTTATTATTCAATGACAGAATAAGGATATTTTTGAAAAAAAATAATTTTAAGGGCATTTTAGTCCAAAATGTCGGTAATCCAATAATACCTAAGGAAATGGAGGTAATAACATTCCCAGTAATATACCTAAAAAAATTCACTATTGGTAATGTAAGATTACCCGGAATGACATTTCCGACAAACCAAACGGGGGAATGTGGATTTCATTCCCATGGGAATCTCACATTCCCCCAACCAAACCCACCCTAGGGTGCGTTTGGTTCACGGAATGTAAGATTACCAGTGGGAATAAAAGATTATCAGAGAATAGGATTACTGGGAATGTTGTATTTTGTGTTTGGTTGGTTTAGCAAGAATGTAAGATTACCGTGTTTGGTTAAAGGAATAAAAGATTATTGGAATGTATATTTGACCAAATTGTCCTTATTATATATTTGTATAATATTACAAATTGTAAAATATTTATATATTTTCTTTAAAAAATTAAATTCATAATATTTATATAATTGTTTTTACAAAATTAAAAATATAAAAAAGGTTTAATTAAAGGATAAATTTTAATTATAGATTTTTTTTTGTAAATTTAAAATAATTTAAGGATAAATTTGTAATTTAACCTTCGTAAAAATTTTATTATTCAATGACAGAAGAATGATATTTTTGAAAAAAAAAATAAAAATTTAAGGTCATTTTAGTCCAAAACGTCAGTAATGTTACAATACCTAAGGGAATGGACGTAATGACATTCTCGGTAATATACCCAAAAAATCTACTATTGATAATAAAATATTACCCAAAATGAAATTCTCGACCAACCAAACATGGGAATGTGGGATTCCCATCTCATGAGAATCCCACAATTCTTGAACCAAACACCCCTAAGGGTTTTAAGCACGGTGATTAAACAAATTTGGTAATTCCACTATAAAAAGAAAGCAAAACCAAACGCAATGGATGAGGTGTTTAGAACTATAGTCTTTATAGAAGTTGAAAAAAAATATTTAAAATACTTTTTAATAATAGGTGATTATAAGATAATATTTTTTAAAGATTCTTTTTTTAAAAATATTTTTAGCTTAAAAACTCGTTTTGACCACAAAATCAATGGTAGATGAGTGAAAAAACAAAGAAATTAAATTAAAAATAATAGTTTCAAACCAACTGCAAAAGTTAGCATTTTTATTTTTTTTATTTACAACTTTGCGTTTAGAAATAATTTTATCTTTACTAAAGCATAGACTATACTCAATTATATATTTATATTTTATTTTAATAATTTAATATTAACTTTTTAAAAAATAAATTATTACTTTTAATAATTTATTTTAATTATTTAAAAAAAATAAATTTATGATTTATATATTAAAATATTAATAGCGAGTTATATAAAATATATTTTTATTGTAATTACATTTTGTATTTATAATTTTTATATTTTTTTATAGTTTAAATTGATATAATTTATATATAATAATATTTTTTGAATTTATTATAGTTTAAATTGATATAATTTATATATAAGTGTAAATATTATTTAAATGTTATATTTTTAAATTACTACATAATGTCTATAATAGAGATTTTATCTTTTCGAACTCACTTTTTAACAACAATCTCAAACAATTAAATTTTAAATTACACTTTTGTACAAAACTTTTAAAAGTTCATTTTTACGATACTTTTAAAAGTTAATTTTCAAAAGTTATACCAAATTAACCCTTAATTATTATTGTATGCAGCATATATAATAATTCAAATAAAAGCTTTTTAAAAAAATATTTCTTTTAATTATTAGAATTATTTAATAAATTTATACTTTTAATATAAAATTTTATACCTGTCCCTTAAACTATAAATTATCTTTATTGTGCGGAGCGTGGACGGAAAGTCCCATCCCGTCCCTTTTGTTTCTCAACTTGGATCCCATCACTTGGCTTGCTAAAAGAGTTTATTATTATATCCCAACAACAAAAACAAACTAAAATATCCAGTTGCTTCTGTTACCAAAAAAAAGCTCTTCCTTTTCTTAAAAAAAAAAACATAGCATTTACCTTAACTATGTACGTAGATTGTTGTTGACTCAGCGAGTTATCTCTGTTATATTTAATGAGAAAATAATTGTAAAATGATATTAAGTATTTTTTGGGGGGACGGTGTAATTGTACGTACTTCAAATCAACTTAAAAAGCAATTGCGGACTATGGAATTAGTAGCATAGTTGAGGAGGAGGACAATAAATAAAGAAGAGGGTGAACATAGAAATAAACAAGGGAGTTGGCATGCTGGCTGGGTGTATAACCACGTCGGCTGGTCACATGCCTGCCTACAAGGACAGACCCAAAAAATTATATTAAAGAATACAAATTTAAAGATTGTAAAATTAGATAATCAGGAAAAAATATAAAAATAAAATCTAAAACATAAAAAAATTAAAAATTTTAGAGATACACCCAAAATCCCTAATACCCCTCCTCTATCCATCCCTACTTGTCTAGTATTACAAGCCGAAACCGCGAGAAAGTCATAAAATTTGTAGGCGGAGAAGAGCTGATGGATTATGTCGGCCCAATTTGGATTTATCTAAACGTAGATCCATCAACGCGGCGGGCGTGCCCAGACGACACACTAGCAGCCAAGTGGGGAATTAATGCTCCTTCCCTCTCCCTCGTATATATCATTAGTCTCCTGTTATACTTATATGTATATATATATATACAATACATAATAGCTTTTGAAACAAAGAGTATTCTTTGATTAACCGTTGCTAGAATCTGTTCCTTTCTTCCTCTTCTTCTTGTTATGACTTACAAGTTATAGTCTCCAGAAACAAGGGAGGATCCATAAAAAAAAGTTCAGTTTTAGGATTTTGTTTTTTAATCTTTTTGTATGATGGAGTTAGGTGATTGTTGTTTAACTTCAAGTTCAACAAAGGGAGAGAAACGAAAGCTGCATAGGCAACAACAGAAGGAGAAACCATTCAGAGGGATAAGGATGAGGAAGTGGGGGAAGTGGGTTGCTGAAATCAGAGAACCAAACAAGAGGTCTAGGATTTGGCTCGGTTCTTACACCACCCCTATAGCCGCCGCTCGTGCTTACGACACCGCCGTTTTCTACTTGCGTGGGCCTTCCGCTAGGCTCAACTTCCCTGACCTCGTTTTACAAGAAGACGACCTTAGGGATGTCTCCGCCGATTCCATACGCAAGAAAGCCACCGAGGTAGGGTCTAAAGTCGACGCTTTAGAAATTTCGCTCCATCATGCTTCTGCTTCTGCTTCTGCTTCTGCTTCTGCTTCTGCTTCTGCTTCTGCTTCATCATCCGAATCATCCAACCCTTCTCGAGTTTTCCGGAAACCTGATTTGAACAAGTACCCCGACAATTCTGACGAGGACTGAAACAATATATTAGTTACCCATAAATCGCAAAGCCTACAACTGTTTATAGTCCCCACTTCCCCCCCCCCCCTTTTGCTGCTGTCTTTTGATTCTCTCATGAAATATCAAGTGCCCGAGGAATAGAATCCAATAAAAAAATGTATCGATTCTCTGTTTGATAAGGTTATAAATATTTTACGTTTGGTTTATGGCATGTAACTTTTAACATGGATAGTGATGAAACAGGTATACCGTTGAATTCCTGATCAACTGTGTTTTTCCTTATGTTATATGTTATGCGCAAACTCCTTGTGTTACATCAAATATATTTTCAGTGAAAAAAAATTAGAGATGAGGGATCCAGGGGACTTGAGTTTAGATTGTTGGAGGATAGATAGGTATGGAGAAGACAAACAAGGGCGATGGCCTACCAGCTTATGTCTCCACATATGTACGTATATTTAGCTGCTAAAACCAAAGTAGATAAGGACAGATATATGTGAGAACCAAGTTAGTTACTTATGACCTTGCTTGTGGACGCCAGAAAAGGAACACAGCCAAATTAGAGAGAGATGAGCAGAGGAGGGAGTTGTCACCGTCATGGACGGCGGTGGCTTTTACGAAAGGGTTCGCTTGTTGCAAGTTGATAGGTGATGAAAGATAGGCGGTGAGTGGGGTTTTCTTTCCCAATTTTTTATACTTGATTACTTGCTTATTTAGGGTTTGTTTAGTTTTTATCTTATTTTTCCCATATAGTTTAGTTTATGATGGACGGTTGATTTTCTATATGTTATTTAGCTATGAAATTGTTCGTTCCATTTCATGAAATGTTTCGCAAAAGAATTTGTTACGAACTTAAGAACTCATATGAATTGAAACACTCGAGTTGGTTTTATTGAAGAACAAGGGAATTACAACGATAGAGAAAAAAAGATAAGACTAGGAGAGAAAATTAGAGAGGAGAGAGGATAACATATTATCACAATATTCATACCTCATTCTCTCAATTGTTTCCATATATAATAACCCATGACCTATTAAACCTCATTAACAAAAATACATGTATTTCAGTCATAACAGAATCGCCCATCCTTCCCTGAGTTGACAGACATTTAAAAGATATCACATACGTGTGTGTGTTAACCATCGTCCTATAATTGCTATTAGCAGCGATTATGGTGCAATTTAAAACAAGTGGATGGTTTCTGAACATAAAAATAAATTAATTAGACCGCAACAGGTCAGTCAACGGGGGAGCTCTTGGGAAAGTGAAATTTCAATTTTTATATCATGAATGTTATTCGTTCGGTGCGGAATTCAACCGTATTTATTGAGACTTTAAAACTTTTAAATTCATTTAAAAAAAGCAAATTTATAAGGATCAAATATATATATATATATATATATATATATATTGAGGGAATCATGACGCCCACTGATCCTTTGTGTGTTCTGCCACTGAAGCCATTGACTGGTGGCCTAATTTGATCGAGAGATGCTGAAATGCAAGTTCTTCAAGAGGCTTCGAAATGGACCAACAGAAACACAATAAGAAGAAATCAGATCTATTATCGAAACTCGTATAAGAATATCCATGCCGGATTGTCCGACCGACCAAACCTGTATATTAATCTCTACCATGTCGCCCTTGAAAATATTAAAACTAAAAACAGTCAATTAAAGAAGTAAACATATGAAGCTACCATTACAGAGTTGTCGTTCTCATACGAAACCAACTTCGAATTCTACTTCCCACCCACCGAAATCCTCATGAGGTGGAGACTGAAGAACCCCTTTTTCTGAAATATTCAATCAAACTGAAGCAGTTAGTGCATCCCCATTCCCCACCAATCAACTGCATATCATAGACCAGTATTTCGCGCCTGTGTCAAATCATGCCATATTAAAGATCCTTCTTCGCACATACAAGTGTTTCCGCTTCAACCATGTTTTTGCCTTGGCCTCAGAAAAATGTTCCGTTCCGTCGGCAAGTAAAATGTTACCTACGTACAGAGATTAACATGTCGGACCAATGAAATTAACTGATAACCTCGATAGTTCTACATAGCAAGACAAATCTTCAGCTAGTCATGTTCGATAGCAAGGTACAAAGCCATTTTCTTTCACCGCAAGTGCAAGAGGTTCTCCGAAATGATATGCAGCTGCAACTGATTAGTCATATGATGTGGCAAGCCAGTGACATCAACAAGATGGCATCTATATGAGAATGCATATATACCACAAAAACAAATGGAATCAATCAGAATACGTCTGCATTCTTATGCATTTTCGTCCAATCAAAAGGATCAGTTATAATAGTAGTCTGTAACTGGTCAAGTTTAACAATTAAGGACAAGTACTATGCTATTACAAATTTAAGACCTTTCTCTTCCCCCCACCCCAAAGATATGGACAGACGATTAGTGGTATTCTTACACAAATACCTATGAAGACCAAATGTGTAACAGATACATGATTATATGATATAAAACTTTGGCATCGTGTAAAACCGGTTGTAGCTTTAGTACCAGAAAGGAGTAAGAATAGCAATAGTCGAACTGGTTGAATTTATGTAAGTTGAGTTTGTTAAGAGATAATTACATTAATCCACTACAGGGGCCAATAGATACAGAGAACGTTCATATTAGTCATAACTCAGAAAGAAATGAAGAACATGACAAGCCTGTTCACTCTCGAATAGGAAAAATAAGCTGGTATCTCCATACACCTTCCACCCGCTCACCCCTTCCCCATTTTCCACAGACACAAGTAACATAGTTATGGAGAGATGTTTAACATGTTCCATCCATCTTAGTTAACTCAGAAATCTGATAAAAGAACGCGTCGCAGAATTAAAAGGGTAGGGTGAATGTATCGGATGAATTAAAATACGTGTGTTTTTACTTGTTTGCCTGTTAAAATAATGGAAAAATCATACCTGACATGAAAATCAAAATTTAATACTGAACAAACCATAGAAATAGTAGGCATTCTCTAAGCATCACCATTCTAATGTGAATTCACTCTTTTTCATGTCAAATAATGGTTTAAAAGCAGACACCCATTTCACACTTTGAACAGCGCTTAGTTACCAAAATAAAAATCTGAAATAGGAAAAAGGATGGTAACAACATGGTTCCACGTGTGTTTGAAAAGTAAAACCAATAAGTTCACCCAGAATATAGGCTACAAAAGATGGGTGTAATTCACCAAACCTATTGTCAAAATATTAAGGTAAAGAAGGATACACAAACCGTCGGGAGTTATCTTAATAGCAATCTTATCATATCTTTCAGAAAGGGGAGGTGAATTTAATGAAGCCACGCGTATGAGAAGCCGACAAATAAGGAAAAGCATTTCACTGCACTAGCTTTCCTACATTATCATGACAAAGAGAGTTTATAAAGTCCAAAGGCAAGTCCCAATCAAGATCTACCATGGCCATATTATGACCACATGCTGAGCACACATGCTAGACCATTTATCAACAGTCATTATCTGACCTATCATCTTCCCCGTCTACACCTAAAACTTCAACAAATCATCAGCACTAAGAATAACTTAATCAGCAGAAGAAGAAAACGGGTCCACATACAAATGTTAGACACCAAAATGAGTCCTTTAGCAAACAATATATATAGCTGATTTTCGGCATGTTGTATCGACCATTCAGTCACCTTCGTATTGGTTGTTTCAGTGCTTGATTGTTGCTTAACCTTTTTTTATTATAATTAAGCCTCATTCATCAAAAAACTTAAAACATAATTTCACAGCCCCCACACCAGAAAGGCAGAAACCAAACAAATTTCTTTCCCGAGAGAAGTAAATTAAAGTTCTGAATTTTAGCAGGATGTCAACATCAGAAGAATAAAGTAAATCAAAAACTCACCAGCAATGGAAAACGTCCATTACCTTCCCCCATATACAACAGTGATCAAGAAGGGAAAAACAAAAAGCTAAGGCAGAGGAGTGAAGTTAGGGTGAAGCCAGATAAACGAGACTTACATCAGCCGCGACGGTAGCTTAGTGCAAACGATTCGTCAGGTGTAACGAAGTAGCGTCGGTAGGGTGAGCAAAACTAGAATTGACTCCGAGTATAATTTAATAAACGACTCGACTCGAAAGAAATTTCAAGTTAAATATAATTGTAAAATACAACTCGAATAACTCAAAATTTTTAGTAATTAGTAGATTGACTTTCAAGTTTACGGCGAAGTTTGAGTCGAGTCCCACGACTTTTTATGGTATCTGCAAATTACATGTGAAAAAATACGAAAAAAAATATTTATAGGCATGATATATGATTATAAAATATTATTTAAATTTGAATAAAATAATGTCATAATATTATAAATATTTACAATTAAATTTAAATAGAAATTCGAAAATTTGACTCGACTCGACTCGAATTTTATAAACTCAATTAAAAAAAATTAAGTCAAATCTGAGTTATAAAATAAGAGTCATCAACTTGAATAACTCAAATTTTTTTTACTTGACTCGATCGAACGCTCACTATAATCAGCCGACGAGAATGGATTGTGTTACTTTTATTTGCAGAAATCTGTGAGCCCAACCCAGAATATCTTATCTGAATATTCTCATGGTTTCGGCCTTTTAGATGGTTTTCACTGAATATATTCAAGTTTGGGTAAAATAATACATTTTTATTTATTTCTTTTAACTCCTTGCACTTTTTTTGTTGGAGAAATAAGGTTATATACTTATATTAGTCTTTTTATTTTATTTGTATCTACATTAAAAAATTATTTTTGTTTTATTTTTTGATCTATTATTTTTACTTGGTTGATCCTAAATAAACTAATATTTTACATTCCTTCTTAAAATTCATTTATAAAATAAAAAAATGTAGCTATAATTGAAAATTTACTTGTCACGCTATTTTAATTTGAACATCTTAATTTTATATTTAGATGTAATTTAAGATAACTATAGATGGATTAATTTGTTTTTTATCATAATAATTTTAAGATGTAACCATTGGTGAAACCAGTATAGAATGAGAGGTGTCAAATGACATCTAATTTCTATATAGATTTTATAATGTATAATATAAAAATAAATAAATGACATCATTTTTGGAAAAAAAATTGACCCCTTAAAAAATAAATGTCACAATGTTAAAAT